TGCGAACACTTTAGAACTTCATGTACACAAAATAGGACACGGACTCCAATCCTTGTGTTGATCCACAGCATTGTCTGGTCTTTGTGACCCCTGTAGCACATGGAGAATGTAGAATTCTAGGCAGTGCCTAATTTGCTTCTACCTCTGAACCCCAGCCTGCAGGACAGCCACATCCTGAAGCTCCATGGTGACCTCAAATGCAACAGGTCTGCCAGAAGGCCTCTGTCAACCACCAGAAAAAGGCTCCTGCCCTCCCACTCACATAGGCTCTAGAACAGTCTATCCTGGTGCCACCATAGTCCATCATCAAGGGAAGTGGGGTTCCCAGCTGGAGCCATGCCAAGATAGCTCTCAGGACAAAACAAGGTCTGCTCTGGCAGGGCAATTCACCCCTGCTCAGTCCAGAGAGGTCCTCTGGTATCTACAAGCCTCCATCTGGCCCCAACACCTTGGTCACCCAGGGGCGCTCCCTTCACCTTTGAGAGCATTCTCATGTCAGTTACCCTGCATAGCCCTGCCCAGGCTTTTCCTACCTTCTCAGGTCAGCATTCCTTCTCCCTACTGTTTGCTTGCCTAAAACCTCATCAGTCCTCACAGGGAACTGGAGAACCCAGAGGATAGTGCAGATTAGAAAGAAAACTATAGATGCCAAATGAGGTCTCTGACCTGACACCTGAACCCCCCACCGAAGACCTAGAATACAAGCAGGGGGTGAGGGATATTGCAGAGGGCCAAGGTCCTCCAGTTCAGGGATGCGGCATACATACTTTTGTCGAATGGGGATGTCATGTTAATTTGTTGTGTGACCCCAGGTATATCACTCAACCTCTCTGAGCCTCAATCTCCTATCTGCCTACATTTGTGTACACAAACTCCCTTACAAGGGTCACAAGAGCCACATGAGCTACCTGCTGTAAAATGAGTTTGTGAAGAGCAGAGCCCACTGTGGGTGGGAGATGGGGAGGGGGCTCTGGGTATCATCAGACCTTCTGGAGCCTTCTGGAATAGCCCTACTTGCCTGATGTCTCCACTCCTGACAGCCTTCTGCACTTATTAGAGGTAGAGTGCTTTCTGACTCTAACATGCTTTTGGGCTCACTCATGTCAGTGTTATCTTTTCCACACAATACCAAGCACCTTAGGAATAGGGATCTCAAAAAATAAAAATAAAAATAAATTTTAAAAAAGGAATAGGGATCTCTGCTTGTACTGGTGATTATCTCCAACTCACAGCAAGGAGCACGAAGACAATGCACTTGCTGGCTATGGGGCTCTTCATCATCATCATCATAATCATCATCATCACCACCACCACGACCACCCTCCTCTCTCTCCTCCAACAGCCTGATCAGAGGGATGCCTGGAGTCGGCCTGGGGAGCAGAGATGGGCTGGACCCCTCCTAAGGCTGACCTGCCCATAGCTTCCTAGTCTCTGTATTTTAAAAAATATTTTATTTATTTATTTGAGAAAGAGAGAGAGAATGAGCCAGGGGAGGGGTAGAGGAAGAGGGAGAAGCAGACTCCCTGCTGAGCAGGGACCTGAACATGAGGCTCAATCCCAAGACCCTGGGATCATGACCTGAGCCTATGGCAGACCCTTAACCAACTGAGCCACCCAGGTGCCCCTATTCTCTGTATTTTACCTTAAAGCTAATCTATAATTATATTTATATAATTATAACAATAATTAATAATTATAATAATCTATAGTTAGTATACTTTCTTACTGTCCCTAAATCCACACGGTTCATGACCGCAGCCCCGATCCTTTCCCATCAGCCCTGCTGGGCCCTGAACATATCTAAGCAGGGGAGAAGGAGGTATGTGAGGGCACGGTGGAAGGCTGAGGTGGCCACCTACAGACTGTGTTCGTGACTGGGGTCTCAGAACTCCCTATGTGGGTTATCTCACTCCACCCTGCAGGGTACCAAAAACTTCCTTCCCCACCACTCCCTAGCCACTACCCCTGTAGGTACCTACAGGGCCTTCAACTCAAGAGCCCCCTCTTCCACCTGAGGCCTTGGGCTCACTCCCCCAGCACCGCTCACCCCAGCAACTGTCCTGTCCACCTCTGCCCTCGGTTCTTCCTGGTCTCCGAGAGAGAGTGGGATCCCCACTGGGAGAGTGGGGATCAGAAAGTCTGTTCTGAGCGAGGGAACCCACAGGAAAACAGTTTGTAACGAGTAGCTTCCCAGAGAAATGGCCAAGACAGGTTCAACAAAGACCCCAGAGCCTGTGTCTCCCACTCAGCCCTTCCACTGTTTCTAACTAGAAGGGTTTTGCCAGGTGCCCGAGTTCTCCCCATACAAGAAGTTGCTGGATGCCCCATCCTTCCCTCCTTGGCCAGGGCTGACAGGCTGCACAGTGCCTCTGTGAGGTTTGGAAAGACCTGGCCCTCTGGGCAAATGTAGTCCCGGATGAAGGCAGGCAGAGGCCACTATCTAGGTGAAGAAAGAGTCCCCATCCCCCAGTGGAGTAGGGGGAGGCCAAAGGAGAGGGGTTGTGGGATGCCAGCCCACTCTCAGCCCCTGGGCCAGGGGCTTGACATAGGCCATCAACTGTACAACCACAGGCCATGCTCCTTGCCCTGTACCCACATATCTCCAAGGTAACACCCTTTGCATCCCAAGGCAGAATGAGGTCACAGCCCAGGGGTCAGAAAGCCCAGGTCTTTGGCAGCCCCTTCCCCTAAAAAGTGAGTTGGGGGAAAAGAATGAAGAGGCTGGCACACATTGGACCCCCAGGGAGTGCCAGCCCAGGTCCCACTCACCCTGTGTTGCTGTAGCAGGTAGCCTGAGCCAGAGACTCAGTGTCACAATCCAGATCACCAGCATCTCCCGATGGGGTACTGGCTGCAGGGTCTCCCCTCATCAGGAGGGACCAAGAAATGAGAGCTCCCAGGGAGGTATCAGCTATATAAAGGACACTAGAGACCTTTGCCTTGGGGTGGGGGTGTGGTGATGGGACTGGGTGGATGGTATGTGGTGACCACAGAGAGTTGGCCAAAGGGCAGCCTGTCAACCCTCCCTAACTTCATGAAAGCTGACCGCCCACATCTAGGGTCTCTCCAGCCAGAGTCACAGGTGGGGCAGGACAAGAGGGTGGGACAGGAAGCCAGAGACGTGAGTGTGTGACAATTAGCCAGGGGCAGGGGCCAAGAAATGCCAGGAGGGAGGGGTGACAGTCCTGGAAGGAGCAGCCAGCCACAGGCCAGGCTGAGCAAAGGCCCGTGCATCCCCACCCTTGAGAAGCTCCTCTTTCTTCTAGCCTTCCTTCTCCCTCACCCACCCCAAGCTGACCCCTTCAAAGTTTCCAGTGCCTTCCTCTAGGCCTGAGACCACTACCCCTTCTCCCACCTGAGAATCCCATTCACGTCAGAGGCTTTATGGTCCTGGCCCCCACCCCCAGCCACTGCCAGTGCCTCCCCCATCCAGGGCAAAGGCCCCAGGTGCTTTTTTCCCAAGCCCTCTCATTCTGTCAGCCTCAACCACCCCCAACTCCAGTCCAACTACTCACAATAATGAGAACAGGAGGGTCCCCTGCCCAAGCATGGCAGGCCTGGTGTGAGTGTATCTGCCACCAAGGCTCACAGAGGCTCAAGGTCTTTAGGAGGCCCAGCTTTACCTATCAGCACAAATGGCAGCTGACCTAGCCTATGTCACTCACCCCCCTGACCCAGCCCTGAGTTCCCTAAGTCAAGGGAAGAAGGACACAGATGACAAACCCAACAGGCCCCTACCTGTGGCTGATCTGGAGGTCCCCTTGCTACCACCCACTCTGTAGCAAAATGGGCCCCCCAGTCTCTAGGAGGACCTAGACCCCTCCCTTCCTTGCTGGGAGAAACTGGCGCTCCCCGACCCTCCCACACATTCTCTGGAAGTCCCCATTCTCTGAGTGGAGGTGCCATGAGATAAGAAAGACACAGAGCAACTTCTTTTCCAATAATGCTAGATTGTGTTCACATGGGAGAACTGGAGGCTGCAAGACTTTCTTCCCCAAAAGACATGTTCCTGTGAAGAGGGCTGGGGACTTCTGACCTCTGAGGGTACTGCAGCGATGGGGGTGAGGCCAAGAGAGGAAAGGGGAGTGGTGAGGAGGGTGAGGTCATAGGGGATCAGAGGGAAGGGGGAATGAGGACAAAGGGCTGAGGGGGCTTCTCCACCTCAGGGCCCTGCTTCTGCTTCCCGTTGAGGCCCCAGAAAACTGAGATCCAGACCCTTCAGAGCAAGAAGGGGGAATGGGGCCTCAGAATGGCAGACCAGGGCCTGGGAAGCACCAGCTAGGGGACTTGAGAGGCAGAGGACATCCATACCTAGCTGGGAATGGCATGTGGAGGGAGGAGGGAGGATTTAAGACTGGGGCCCTGGGATGGGGGAAGGGGTAAAGATTTAGGGCTGAGATTATAAGGATGGGGGCGGAAACAAATGGGAACAGACTTGGGGCTGGGCACTGGGATGGGGAGTGATTTAAGAAGGGGGTTCACAGGGGGAGAAGATTTGAAGGTGGGAGCAAGGAGCAAGTAAGAGGATAGTTATAGATGCAGGTGGGGAACAGGCACAGGGATGCGCATGAGAGAACAGAGACCACACGAGAGAACAGAGACTGAGGTCTGAGTCCCTGGAAGGATCTGGGGCTGGGGATCTGAGAGAGACCACCTATAAGCACAGGGCTGATACAGGAGGTGTGCTGGGATAGAGATCTTACAACACCTCTGGTTTTCACAGTAATTACGAGATATCAGGACAAGTATGCTCTACTCATTTTGCAGGTTCAGAGAAGTTACTGACTTGACCAAGGTCTCACAGTAGAAGAATCTGGATTTGAACTGGATCTCCAGGTGAGTTTCACCCAAGTGGGGAGAAGGATGAGGGTTGGGGAGATAGTCTGATTTTGCTCAAGGAAACCAGGAGACAGAGCTGTATGAGTCCTTGGGCAATCCCTTGAAATAGATGTGGTTCAGTTTCTTCTCACTGTCCAAGGCAGGGCAGAGGTTCATGAAGTGCAGGACTCACGGCAAGGGCGAGGCCACCTCAGGTCTCTGGATGTGCACCTGCCACAGAGTATGTGTGAAAGAGGTAGTGAGGACAGGGAACCACCCTGCTCAGGCTGGCTGGAAGGTCACTGCCTCCTGGTCCTAGCCCAGCCCCCTGCCCCGGTGGGTGGAAAGAAGGCATCTGGACCTGGACCTGGGAGAGCTCCTTACCATCCCCCCTTTGCCCCCTCACCCTCACATTGGTGTCCACATTCTTCAAGGCCACCTGGAGGTATTCATCCTTGACTAGAGAGAGAAAAGAGAACAGGAGGAAAGAGAGGAGAGAAGGAGCAAGAAAGGTGGGGAAGGCAAGGCCTGGCAGGGGGGCTCCTGTGCCCCGGTGCCTGTCTTGTAGGGATGGCGGGTCCAAGACCTGGGCCGTCTTCAGGAGGTGCCCAGGGAAGGGGAGACTCCCTGCTCCAGGTACACGAAGTACGCGTCTGCCCTGGACAAGGGAGGACGCTGGGTTTTTCCCAGGCCCCAGTGATGCCCAGAAAAGCCCCTGTTCCCCCTGCCCAGGAGGCAGGACTCACCTGTTCGGTTGTTTTCCAAGTCCAAGTTTGAAAACGTCCCCACAGTGTCTTCATCCCAGACCTCGAACCATTTCCTGTCGTCCTCCCAGGACCTGAGTTGGGGCAACGCACGGTCAGAGCAGGGCCGCCCAGCTGGGACCCCTTTGCCGACCTCAGCCCCACCCCCAGCGCGCTCACCCGCCTTCACCCTGGCCGCCTCTCCGGGAGCGCGCAACGAAGACGCTCAGGGACACCAGGAGCAGCAGCAGCAGCAGCACAGCCGCGACCCCCACCAGGCCCCCCACCAGCGCTCGCCAGGCGACGAGCGGCAAGGGCGAGGCCACCTCCACCTCGCAGTGCGGCCCGAGAACCAGTGCGTGTCCGTGGAGAAGCAACAGAGGGTCCCAGGTCACAGGCCCTCACCACCTTCCGGGCAAGGTCCCCTCGCACACCTGGGCCCCTCCGGCGCCGGCGGGGGGCGGGGGGGGCGGCGCTCCGCCGTGGGCCGAGGGGGCGGAGCCGAGGCCGGTGGGGCCGCAGGGGAGCCGCCACCTGGTGGGCCCAGCGGGTGGTGGGCGGGGCTCACCCGCAAGCGGGACCGCTCCTCTCCACAAGGCATCGGCCCTGGTGACAGTCAATGGCGCCGTCCACGCCCGAAGCTCATTTGGTGACGCAACGGAGCCTGTTCTCCATCACCGGGAAGTAGAAATCCTCATAGCCTTTCGCAGTGGCGCGGCGACAGATGGCTAGGGGGTGAGCAGGGGATTGCAGGACAGGGACCTCACCCACTCTACTCAGGGGCCTGGTTATAATGACTCTGAAAATAGATGGGGAAAAATACATTTCCAAGAGTGGGGTCTCTGTGGAGTAGACCCTAGGATTAGATGAGGGAAAGGCAGACCCCCAGGACCCTCCCCTCCCCTTACCTTGCCTGCTTGTCCTCAGATGGAAGCTATGAACAAGGGCCAGGAAGGGCAGCCCTGCCCGGGACCACATCACTTGCCTCCCTGAGAGATCTCCTCCTCCCCAGGGAATTTCAATGGGCAAATGTTCCTGGTGAGAGGGTCATGGTCTCCTGGGCCATTCAGCCCTTTGCCCACCCTTACCTTCCAGAGTCAGCTCCTTCCTGGTGTTGTTGTTCACCTTGATGGAATCAGGCTTAAAACACAAGGCTGGGGGGGTGGGGGTGCGGAGCGGGAGGAGACAGGCATAGGTGGAACTGGGGGAGGAGGCTAAGGGCTCAGGGACAGGTAAGCAGTCCTGGGAGTGGCAGAGACGGTTCTGTCACTAAGGGGGGATGTGGAGTGGCTGCAAGGAAAGGCTCCTCTTGTCTCCCTCATTTCCCCCTAATAAGCAAGGGTCCTCAGTCATCCTGAAAACTTGGAGCAGAACTGTCAAGGGGTCTTTCCCACACCCAGGTTCTGGCCCCATCCTTGACCCTTAGCCCCATCCTTGACCCAGTTGGCTGTAAACTCCCCCCTCTCCCAATCTGCTGAAAGGACCAGAGGGCTGGCACCCGATCCCAAAGGCTCCTATCGAAGCTGGTAGCACTGACCCTCACTCCTCCCTCCAGCTTTGGCTCACTCTGGTTATTCTGGGAGCTGTCCTCGTTATGGCTAAGGTTCTGGACCTCCTCCTTCAGGACAGTCTTCACCTTCTCGTACTCGCTCTCCAGCTGGAGGCTAAAAGGCAACTCCAGCAGGACCACGTAGTCTACCACAATGCTGCCACTCCTGAGGGGATCAAGAGGATTGGGGGGTCTTACAAGGTGCTCAAGCCAGGGGCATGTAAGTCTTTAGGAGGGCTCCTCCAGGACTAACCACAAGTACACTGGTATTGGGAGGAAGGCAGAAGCAACAAGTTGGGATTCCAGACATTATTTGCAGGAACCACCAGCATCCCTGACTTAGCCCAGAAAGCAAAACAAGGAAGGATTGACATGCTCCTGCCTTGCATCAGGCCATTACCAATCCAGGCCCTCCTGGGCTCTCTGTTTCGCTCATGCTGACCCACTCAGTAGGCCAGGTGCCAGCCAGAGAAAAACTAGCTAAAAAAAAAAAAAAAAAAAAAACTAGCTACTGTCCAGACACCAGGCTTCCCACAAACCCTCATGTGCCACCTCCTTGCATGTCCCATGTAATCTCTCTCCTTCCAATCATGCTTAAAAAGGAGCAGTGGCATCTCTCCAACAGAGAAATGACTACAGAAAATGACTAGAAAAAATCCCCCATGGAGTGACTGGTTCCCCTACCTCCTCCCTCCACCTCCCTCTTTCTGAAATCTGATGATTCCAAAAGGAAAAGATGGCTTCTCCAGCTTTTTTTTGTGCCCCCCCTGCCCCACCCAACACTACCTCCACAGCCACATAAGGGTTTCCTACCTCAGTGACAGGATCTCCACATCCTTGAACCCCTGCACATTTTGATAAATCTTCTGCATCTGAAATGCCAAGATCCATGGGCTCACACCTGAACCTTGTGACCTGCGTGCACCCAGGGGCCCAAGTTCAGCTTCAGGGTAGGACCCGTGAGTTCCCTCCCTTTCCCTGTCACCTGATCCCGGAAGGTGTCACTGAAATCCTTGTAGGCCTTGGAAGTGTTGTCATTGAGGTCCGGGGAGAACTCCTGGCCAACAGACACCTCCATGCCCACTTCAGCATCCACAGTGTCTGCACACAGAGTGCCCTTCTCTGGTCACTTCACCAACCACTTCTGACTGACATCACCACCACCACCACAACCCAGAGGTTCCTCCCATTGCCCCTGTCCATGTTCTCTGAGGACTGATTAAACAGTAGGAGGATGGGAGGTAGGATTTCTAGGATGAATTGTGCCTAGATATGGGAAAGATTAGAGGTAAGGAGGCCTGTGGTCTCTCCTCTGTGTGTCCCAGTGGCAGGCATAATAATGGCTCCCAAAGATGCCAATGTCTTCATCCCCTGAACCTCTGGATATGTTTGCTACATGGCAAGGAGGAAGCAAGATTGCAGATAAGAATTAAAGTTGCTAATCAGCTGACTAAAATGGGGAAATTAACGTGGGTTACAGGGTGGGCTCAACATAATCACCAGAGTCCTTAGCAGTGGAAAAGAGAGGCTGAAGAGGTCAGAATCAGTCACAAGATGTAACTATAAAAGAAAGGCCAGAGTGCAATGCTGCTGGCTTTGAAGATGGAAAGAGGGAGCCTTGAGACAAAGAAGAGAGACTTCAGAACCTAAAAAAAAAAAAAAAAAAAAAAAAAAAAAAAAAAGCAAAGAAATGGATTCTCCTCTAAAGCCTCCAGGAAGGAACACAGGCCCGGCAACACCTTGATATTAGCCCAGCAAGACCCATGTCAAACTCCTATCTGCAGAATTTTAAGATAATAAATTTGCATTATTTCAGCTGCTAATTTTGTGATAATTTGTTACAGCAGCAATTAGAAGCTAATACAGCTCTTAGCAGGCCAGACTGGGAAGGAGACCAGAGGAAGGAGTGTGGTCCCAACCACCTCCTGAAGGTGAGGGTAGAAAGGAAGCATGACATAGGGTAGAGGAAAGCATGGGAGAGAAGGCAGGGATGGAGGAATTAGGCAAAATGACATGAGTGCTAACAAGTGAACCATAGGACTGGGCCCAGGGAGAGTCAGTGGCACCTCCCAGGAGAAAATGCAGAGGCAAGGCTCTGGCAACTCACCCAGATCCACCTGTTCTACCGCAAACTCACAACGGGACCCATAGATGGTGCTAGGACAGTGGCACTTGAGGCCATCCCATTTACCCCCATTCTGGCACCTGATCTCCTGGAGCTCACAGTGGTCCCCAGAGAACTCCAAGGGGCAGTGGCAGAGGCCCTGCATCCAGGTGCCACCATTGTCACAGGTACCTGGGCAGCATAGGAAGAAAGAGAAGTTTAGAATAGGGTTTGCCCTTGATGACACAGAAATTTAGCAGAGGAGAGAAAAGAGGGAACAGGGAAGCAGGAGGTCTAACCTGGGGTGGTGGTCAACCTAGACTGTGCGCTCATCTGAGTAGAAGTCGAAGTTGTCCTGGGTGATGTAAGGGTGGTGGTAGTCTGAGGGGTGACCACCGGTATTTCTGAAGTCTTGGTGGTGGGTAGGGTGGAGTGAGTCAACTTGATTGAAGTCACCATGGTGGTTGGAAAGCTGCTACCTTAGTTTTGTGGTCAATGGGAGGCTAGTGAATACAGGCATATGTGGGATGGTTACAGAATTGTTGCTCATCCAGGATCCACCCGTATGTCTTTGAGTGCTTGTCAAAACTGTGTAACTGGGGGCAGTCCCAGTACTGATATAACCAAGAGCATCTGTTATGCTGTTGGTAGGATGAGTTTCCAGAACAGTAGAAGTGTCCTTATGCATAGGAAACACAGTTGTCATACTAATGGAACTAGAAGTGGCCATCTCAGTAGTAGAGGTAAACACTGACATTGGGATGGTGGGCATAGAAGTAACTTCACTACTTGGACCCATTTCCATACATGACGTAGTGGGAAAGGCAGGCACTATTGTAACTGATACAGATTCTGGACAGGAGGTAGTGGAAGAAATAAAACAGGAGGTAGTTGTTTCAGTAGCAAAGATATTTAGAAAAGATGTGTTTGGAGATGTTCTTGTAGTTTCAGATGAAAAAGGAGTAATGAAAGCAGTGAGAGAGGACTCTGTATTTTCCATACTAGAGAGAAATGAGGATGTAGAAAGAGAGTTAGTGGTGGTAGTGAGCATTGAACTTATACTGCTGGAGGAAAGAGAAGAGGACATTATTGCTGTGGATATTGAAGAAGAGATAATAGTACCAAAAGAAGTAGTTATTGCATTTGTAGATGTACTCAGACTAGGGAAAGATAATGCTGGAGAAACACAAGTACTGTGTGGTACTGTGCGGGTGGGTGTTGTTACCAACAGTGTAGTAACAACACTCGTGGCTGTTTCTGGGATAGAGGGAGTGGGCGAAGTGGCTGTGATAGAAGTAGCAGAGATTGAAGTGTTGGTGGGAGTGGTGATGTCAGTTGTATCCATGGCAGCTATAGGAATGGATGCAGCATTGGTACCAGGGAGTGTAGTGATCAAGGTAGACAAAGGGCTACTCAGTCTCCTCAGTGGAGACTGATTCTGTGATTGGAACAGGTGGAGAAGACAGAGGCATACTCATGGGTGATGTCAAGGTATTGGTGGTCACTGTCACTGGAGTAGAGGCGGTAAATGTTCGAGAATAGACTATATTCGTGAGAGTGATTGATGATGTAGTTGCAAGAGGAGAAGTAATCTCTGTGGTGAGAGACTGCATCCAAACATCCCCAGTAGGAGTTAGTGTGGTTTTCCAGGTGGATGTGGCATGAGAGGGTGTGACAGTCATCCTGCGTGTATATGTAGTAAATGTAGTAGAGGAGGATAGTCCAGTTGGGGATGTTGTGTGTGTGTCAGTGTTTGTGTGCCATGTATTTGTGCTTGTTGCATATGAAGTGGTATTCTCTGTCTGTGTGATCCTGGTACTGCTTGTAGATGTGGAAGAGGAGCCTGCAAAAGTACCTGGAATGTGTGTGGCAAGGATGGGAGATGAGGTGCTGTGGGTACTTGTGAGCATGGATGCCATAGTAGGCACTGTGGTAGAGGTTGTGATGACACTGGATGGTATGCCTGTATTTTGTACAGTGGGGATAGATGGGATGATATATGTGGTGGTTGCCAAAATGCTGGAAGCAGTGAGTGTGGAGGTGAGGTCAGTAATGGTAGTCAGTGAACCAGTGGTACCACTGGATGTAGGGATAATGGTTGTCAGTCTTGAGGTAGGCATGCCTCTACTAACAGAGGATGAGTTTATGGTGGTGGTTATCCTCGGGGTACCAGTGGTAGAGGGAGTTGAGGTTATTGCTGATGTGGTTGTGCATCCTGTAGGGTACATGTTTGAAGATGTAACACCCGGGGTGCTGTGTCGTGTTGTAGGGGTGGGTGTTGTTACAATTGTGGTAGTAGTTTCTGGAGTGGAGTAAGTGGGCAAAGAGGCTGTGTTCAAGGTGGCAATGGTTGAAATGCTGGTAGGAGTGGTGATTGCAGTTGTGGCCGTGGGCCCAGTACTAGTGGAAGGTATAGGGGTGGACGTAACGTGGGCTGTAGGGAGTGTAGTAATCAAGGTGGACAAGTGGGTAGTGTTTGTGGTCCAATTGGAGACTGATTTTGTGGATGGAGCAGGTAGAGAAGACAGATACATACTAGTGGCTGATGTCAAGGTATTCATGGTCACTGGAATAGAAGAGACTGATGTTGTAGAATTGACTGTATTCCTGAGTGTAATTAATGATGTCATTGTGGGAGAAGTAATTTTTGTCATGAGAGACACTGTGGAAGCATCTTTTGTAGGAATAAGTGTAGCTTTCCAGGTAGGTATGGCATGAGAAGATGTGATGGTCATCTTGCCTGTGTGTGGAGCTGCTGCAGTGGAGGAGTGTGGTTCTGTGGTTGTGAATGTCATGTTAATATTGGTGTTAGTGGGTTCCAGGGTGGTTTCAGAGGTGGTAGATGCAGTGGAAGCCATTGTATTTGTTGAAATGATTGATGATGTGATTGGAGAAGTCCAAGTAATTCCTGTTTTGAGAGTTTCTCTAGGGCTGTCTCTCCTCAGAGTACATTTTATTTTCATGGAACTCATTGTTTTCAAAGTAATTGTTGTTGGTGTAATCAGTGTAGTGGTTGCTTCAGTAGAAGTAGATATACTTTGTGTTGTAAGTGTTGTTAATAGATTTGTTGATGTGGGATCATGAATGGTGGCAGTTGCTGTTTTGAATGTACTGGTGGTGTTAGGAAATGAAGTTGTGGCAGTAATCAAGGTGCTACTGGTGGTAGGTGAAGAGTTATTATCAGTTACTGTTGCTGAGATGTTCATGGCAGTTAGAGAAGGAGTAATAGATGTAGAAGTGATTATTGGGGTAAGAGACCTGGTTGTATGAATGCTTGCCATAGTCAGGCCAGCCCTTTCTGTGGTATCAGTTGTAGAGGGTATCAGAGTATGGGAGGTTGTGTGTGTGGTTGGGACAGAGGAAAAGAGTAAGGCCATGGTTGTGGGAGTTTTACCCAGAGTGGTTGTGGTAGTGGGAGGAGAGGTCACGGCTGAGGTAACTTTCTCAGTGGTAGTCAGGGTCATGCAGGTGGTGGGGTAGGTAGTGGTGATTATAAGGTTCATGGGATTGATGCACTTCGTGGTGCTCATGTAGACAATGAGGGTGGGTGGAGTGGTTTCAACCTTGATGACAAACTTGGACTTTGGGATTGTTGAGGTGTTGGACTTGATTGCAGTTTTCAGTGATGCCTCAGAGATAGGTTTAAAGTGGGGGGAGGTGGGAGGAGTTGTAAATGTGTGTTCCCTACTGTCGGGAGCTGGAGGGGTCCTGTTAGGGATGCTGAGAGGCCACCTTGCTGTGTCTTTGGAGTGTGGGGAGTTGCTGAGAACAATGTGAGCTGCTTCTGCTCTGGGAAAAAGCCCAGCAGAGGTGGATGCGGTCATGGGGAAAGTGCCTGTATAGAACAGAAGGATCCATTTGCAGATCACTTTGTCACCATAAACACCACATAGATTATTCACTACCCCATTTTCCAGATAGTATCACAGAATATAGGACATTTCATTGCTTATCCCTCCATCAGAGCAGTTTGGAGCTAGAGCCTTTCAGGTTCTGAAGGGGGTACCCTCAGTCCCTTGCCCTCCTCTTCTGAGCTACGCTGAGCATGCAGGTTCAGCTGTGGGTCCTCCCTCCCCTCCCCCTTCTCCATACATACATGTTTTCCTTACTCTGCTCCTTCCTCTTCCCTCACCTGCTGCCCAAAGTCCCCACCCTTTGGCTTTCCTCTCTCCTTCTCCCTATGACACACTGTTCTTGGGCTGACTCTCCTCCAAGGAGAACCCAGCCAAGCCTGGGCTGGGGGTAGGGATACATTATGGACACTAGAGCCATTGGGTCAGAGGGGGACTTTGCATAGAGAACAGCAAAGGGAAAACCATAGATTCAGGCTCAGATTCTATTGAGATTGAGGGATAGGAAGAGAGGACCACACTGACAGGATGAGGAACAGGACAGAGAAAGAAACTTCCAGAAGTATTAACTCAGAAGGTAGGCATGAGTTCCAAAGACCTTAATGTTTAGCATTGACTATTAATAAAAACAGACATATTTTCAGCCACTCTGTTCTGGCCACTGGGTTAATTAGTTTACAAACATGAACCTCTCACTCTATAGATATCATCAACCCTATTTTATAGGGGATGAGAGTGAGGGTCAGAGATCTCATACTGCTGGGGATGCGTGGTGGGAGATTTCTGAAGCCACAGCATTTGCAAGCAAAAAGGACTCAGACCTCCTGCCCACTCAGCATTAGCCTCTTCCTAAATTTGGACCCAGGACATCTTCATTCTGAGAGCTGAAATTTCATTTCTCAGGCCTAACTAGTGTGTGAAGGAGTTATGAGGAGGGATTATGAAGATTCCTGAGTTGGAACACTTAGAGCCAGGAGATAGCCCTAGAGGTAAGCAAAAGGGTGGTCCATGGGCCTCTAGGTTGGGAAGGTATAGGACTGGGGGTCCGGAACAGACACCAGGAAACAGAGGGAAGGGAAATACAGAGAAATTGTGGGCTCTCTAAGGGATAGAAAAGGAAAAGCCCTGGGCCCCACACCGGGTGGTACACACCCACCCTTTGGGAGCATTCAGGATCTCCCCAGCCCAGCCTTGCCAATGACAGTTGTGCCCAGAAACATGGGCTAGGTGGGGGCAGGGAGAGATAGAGGCAGAGCTGGAGAAGGGGACCAAAGGCGGCAAAGTTCCAGAGAGAAGAGAGAACCCCAGGAAGAGGTGGAGCTGTCATGGAGAGAGCACCACTGGAAGTGAAGGAAGAGTCCAGAGTAGAAGGAGCACTGGAGTTGGTGGGGGGAAGGACAGAAGAGAAATGGGGGCTCAGAAAACCAAATCAAAGGGAAGAACACTCCTCTGGAAAGAGGTTATGCCCACCCTCCCAATGCAAGCACCAATCCCTGCAACCTGCTTGGTCCTGGGTTGAAAGCAGCACTGGCTCAAACCAGCTTCCTTTCTCCTTAATGCTTCCTGCACCCAAAGCTCTGAGGAATCCCTCCTCAGTCTCCCCTTAGGCCTCAGAGCCACTTCCCCACACACCTCCCTCTAGAACATCAGGAGGGTCTCTCCAGCCTTTTTCCCACCTGCCCTCTCACCTCTGGCCCCCGTGAAGGCCCTGAGCATCCAGATGAAGCTGAGGAGACTGAGCAGCTGCATGGGCCTGGTGCAGGGGGTAGAGCAGGCGCCAGCACCGGGGGCAGCTACAGGAGGCAGCCACTATGTACACAGAAGCACCCAGATGGAACTGAAAGGAGTGGTTATCTGCTCTGCTTGACGTGGGGGCTAAGCATAGGTTCACCTTCGCACCACCCACCTCACTTCTCTTCCCCCTGTCTCTGACTTCATTGCTGTGGGAAGGACACCAAGAAACTTGGACTAGCCCAGGAGGTGTCATACAGGGAGCATTGCTGGTGGTCCAACCCCTAGCTGACCTGACCCATTCAGAGCAGTCCCTAAGACCCTGCCTTTTCCCTCCCTTACCCTCCACCAAGAACCAGCAAAACTGGATGAAGAATACACTTGGTCAAGACCTTGGACTCTGGAGTCTGGGGCTGGCTCTCACTGTCTCTCCTGAGTTTCAGTCCCAGCTTCAGGAGAGGGAGGTGAAAACTTGTTCTCAATCCCTCTGCCCCTTGCTCTTCCCTCTCTCCATCCTGCCCTTAGCATGACTTGGGCTGAGATCCTATAAGCGAAGCTACGGGAACAATGCAGCCTTCAATCAGAAGTCATTTTAGGGGGATCCCTGGGTGGCGCAGCGGTTTGGTGCCTGCCTTTGGCCCAGGGCGCAATCCTGGAGACCCAGGATCGAATCCCACATCGGGCTCCCGGTGCATGGAGCCTGCTTCTCCCTCTGCCTGTGTCTCTGCCTCTCTCTCTCTCTCTCTCTCTCTCTGTGTGTGTGTGTGTGACTATCATAAATTTTAAAAAAAAGTCATTTTAGGGGCACCTGGGTGACTCAGTCTGTTAAGCGTCTGCCTTTAGCTCAGGTGATGATACCAGGGTCCTGGGATTGAACCCTGTATTGGGCTCCCTGCTCAGCAGAAACTGCTTCTCCCTCTCCCTCTGCTACTCTCCCTGCGTGTTCTCTCTCTCTCTCTCTCGCTCTCTCACTCTCTCTCTCTCTGTCAAATAAGTAAATAAAATCTTTTTTTTAAGTCATTTTAATATCTGAGGATCTGGGCCAGGTCCCAGAAAAAAAAATACAGATGGCCAGTGGAAATAATCAAACAAAAGGATGTTTTGACCCAGAAGATTAGCAACTACTAGGAAGTTTGAGTCCACTCAGTGTTGGGAAACTGGTGAAGAATACTCTTACTCAGCTGGTGGGAGTGTAAATGTGGAGTGTAAATGTGGGAGTGTAAATGTAAATGGTGGGAGAGTAAATGCCTACTCTAAAAAAGGCAATTTGGTGACATCTATTAAAATTTTAAATGCATGCTCAAGGACCCAGTAATTCCACCATGCTATCTCTGTGTTCAGGAAGTACTTCACAGGGCAGCCCTGGTGGCTCAGCGGTTTAGCGCCACCTTCACCCCAGGGCGTGATCCTGGAGACCCGGATCAAGTCCCACGTCGGGCTCCCGGCATGGAGCCTGCTTCTCCCTCTGCCTGTGTCTCTGCCTCTCTGTGTGTGTGTGTGTGTGTGTCTCTCATGAATGAATAAATAAAATCTTAAAAAAAAAAGAAGTACTTCAAAGAGGCATTCACAAGGATGCCATCCAGTTTATTGAGATTCCAATAGAAACTGGAAACAACCTACACATCTCTCAATAGGAATCTAGAATGACTATGAAATAGTCACACTATAGACTACCATGCTTGAATCAGAAAGAATAGTACCATAAGGGACAGATTCTCAGATTGGCTTGTTCAGTGAAACCAACGGACACATTTCTGTTAAAACCCACACACATATGTATTTCCTATGAATACACACACATACACAAACACACAGGTAAGTGCATTCAAAATTTGAAGAAAAATAAAGATCACCTGCCCCAATAACAGGGTTAAGATTAATTCAGAGAAAAGAGAAGGAACTAAGATTCAAATGATAATCAGAGAAAACAGAGAACATTAGCTCTATCTATAGTTTTCAATTTTTACTTTGATGAAGATTCTCTCCTTGAGCAAACTCTAACCAGGCTCCCCTGAGCCCTCTTCCCAACTAAGCCTCAACCCTGACCTATAAAGACTTGAACAATCACTAACCCTGTTCTAAGGGCTCAAGGCCACATCCCTAGGCTGACCCCATTCTCCCTTAAAGTGCCTGCCTGAGAAAACTCAAGGCCACCAGAAGAATTTACTGTTTGTCCCAGCCAACACCCGAAGATAGGGCCCCTGCCTCCCAGCCTCTGGGAAAGGGTAATAGCCTAACTTTGTTAAGCACCAGTTAGCAAACCCAGATGGGTTTCAAATGGACCACACTGAGCAGCCTGGGTGGCTCAGCAGTTTAGCGGTTTAGCGCCATCTTAGGGCCAGGGCCTGATCCTGGAGACTTGATCCTGGGATTGAGTCCCATGTGGGTTCCCTGCATGGAGCCTCCTTCTCCCTCTGCCTGTGTCTCTGCTTCTGTGTGTGTGTGTGTGTGTGTGTGTGTGTGTCTTTCATGAATAAATAAATAAAATCTTAAATAAAATAAAATAAAATAAAATCTTAAAAAAAAAAAGAGGCCCTGATTATCCAGAGGAAGCTGAGGAGACATCCCCTACTCTTCCTGTAATTGTTCACTCCCACAGTCACCTGAGCTGCACTCCCTCCCTCCCCACACTCCCTCACTCTCCCTTAAATCATCCAGTGACCTCTGTGCAAACTGGAAGTCGGTTCATGCTGGACTCTTTCCCATTGCAAAAGTATGTTACTGGTTAAAATCTGTCCTTACCACTTTAACTAGGGTCTGGCTTTGTTTATCCTTGACAACTTGAATATGATATTATGCTTTTGAGAGTAATGTAAAAATAATTTAGAAGAGAATTCTGGGAGCATCTGGGTGACTGAGCCGGTTGAGTGTCCCACTCTCGATTTCAGCTCAGGTCATAATCTTGGGGTCTTGAGATCAAGCCCAGCGTCTGGCTCCCCACTCAGTGGAGAGTCTGCTTTGAGATTCCCTCCCTCCCACTCCTCCCATTCATGCTCTCTCTCTCTCTCTCTCTCTCTCTCAAATAAATAAATAAATAAATCCAGAAGAAGAAGAAGAAGAAGAAGAAGAAGAAGAAAGAAGAGGAAGAAGAAGAAGAAGAAGAAGAAGAAGAAGAAGAAGAAGAAGAAGAAGAAGAAGAAGAGGAAGAAGAAAAGAGGAAGAAGGAGGAGGAGGAGGAGGAAGAGGAAGAGGAGGAGGGGAGGGGGAGGATTCTGGAGACTTGGAGCAGGAACCAGGACTCCATCTCCCCACCTAGGTAACAACTGCAATGGCACTGGCACAATCTATCTGATGTAACACTTTGATCACTGATTACAGCTTCTGATAACAAAGGTATAGACAGAGGCAAACGGCCATTTTTACAAGCCCCTCCCCACCATTTGAAATGAGTTCCAAGGGATTTAAAAAACTGACCTTCCCCCCCCCCCCCCCGTCAGTCTTTGCTTTTTCCCTCTTTGGGAGTTGCACATTAAAGACTAGGACATTCAGAAACAATTGCATATGTGGGGAAAATTAGAAAATGTGTGCTCAGGAAGAGAATTAGAACAAATCTAAGAAGACCTTAGTGTATACCTTCTGCCTGAGCACAGAGACACACTACAATAACCAACAAAAACAATAATAGAAAACTCTGAGGAAGAAGGAGAACCTGAGTTCCAGAGTTAACCACACCATTAGATTCAAATATTCTGGGGGATCCCTGGGTGGCGCAGCGGTTTGGCACCTGCCTTTGGCCCAGGGCGCGATCCTGGAGACCCGGGATCGAATCCCACGTCAGGCTCCCGGTGCATGGAGCCTGCTTCTCCCTCTGCCTATGTCTCTGCCTCTCTCTCTCTCTGTGTGTGACTATCATAAATAAATAAAAATTAAAAAAAAAGATCCAAATATTCTGTGTCCAACAACAACAACAAATCACAAGGCATACAAAGAAACAGGAAAGCAGGGACGCCTGGGTGGCTCAGCAGTTGGGCATCTGCCTTCGGCTCAGGACAAGATCCCGAAGTCCTGGGATCAAGTCCCACATCGGGCTCCCCGCATGGAGCCTGCGTCTTCCTCTGCCTGTGTCTCTGCCTCTCTCTGTGTGTCTTTCATGAATAAATAAATAAATTTATTTTAAATTTTAAAAATAATTTTTTAAAAAGCTGAAGAATGGTGAGGGGTATGGGTCTCTCTCCAAGGTCCCACCATTGTCACAGGTACTTGGGGGGAGATATAAATCCAGGAAAATACAGGCTGGGACTGTCCTTCAAAAGCCAAAGTTTAGGGACAAAGTATAAAGATAAGGCCAGGAGCAGGTCACTCCTTTTCTCCTCATGAATGAGTCAAGCTTGCTGAAAAGGTTAAGATATGTGTGCTCACCATCCCCTCCACTGTGTCATAATCTGAATTATGATAGCAATTATCAGGTATGGTGTCAGGTGGTAGGAGTCAAGGTGCTGACCAGAGTTATCTCTGAAGTCATGATAGGTGGGGGAGGGGGCATCGATTTGCATGAAGGCAGATAAAAAGCTGATATTGGCTTTGTGACAAGTGAAAGACAGTGATGGTTGGCATATTAGGAAAGATCAGGACATGCTGGATAAACAATCCTAAAGACTCGGTGTCTTCCAACAGCAGATGCTTCTTTCTCACTTATGCTACTTGCCCATCCTAACATCTGTGCTGTTCATTCAGGGACCCAGACTGATGGAGCAGCCCCTATCTGGGACACTGCCAGTCCCATAGTGGTGGGAAATGACAGATGACAAAATCATGAGCTGCCTCCTAAAGCTTCTTTCCAGACATGACATCACACACCTTCCACCCACATTCTGTTGGCTAAAGCAAGTCGTGTGGTTGCCCTGAGTCTGGTGGATAAGAATGTAAAATCCTTCATCAGGGAGAGGCACCACACATCTGATGCCAAGCCTGCTATCAGTGACTCCAGAAGCTATCATCCACCCCAGGGAGGGAAAGCAAATATACTGAACAATAATACAACCTGCCACCGCTGGGATCCTGGCAGTAGCTATGGTTTA